ATAGTATATAGTATATAGTCTATAGTCTAAAGTCTAAAGTCTATAGTATATAGTATATAGTATATAGTATATAGTGTATAGTGTATAGTGTATACTGAAAAGTGTATAGTGCAAAGTGTATAGTATAGTAAACTATAGCATAGTAAAGTATAGTATAGTATAGTATAGCATAGTATAGTATGGTATAGTATAGTATAGTATAGTATAGTATACAGGATATTGTGCTATATGCTCATCGCGCCGCACGATTTTGTGTTCTTCTGTTGAGCAGCATTTTGGCTTGGCTTCGAGCAAAATTCACGCGACCTCCAATGACTATGTCGTTTGTTCAATCCGTTCTGGCTGTCCTCGCCCTCCACGTGCTGAGTGTGCTCAGTGCGCGCGTGGATGGCGTGAGGGCGCATTTCGAGCGCATGAAGCAGCCCGTTGAGGCATGTATAGAAATACAACACAGTGTAGCATGAAGGAGAGTTGGCAGCATACCGTGTACATAGGTGCTATATAAGCCTCCTACCCACACTCTGGGACGATACTCAAAATCAAGAGCCTACATGTACACTACTGAAGCACGTTGGGTTTTGTTTTGCGCAGGGGCTGTGTATCCTAACCTTAGCATCTTCTTAGGGAGTCGAAGCCCCATAAACTGGCCCTGAGAGGACCCCTTCGGCGACATGCTCCCACCGATGCAGGCTTGAGGGGAAGAACAAGCGATCGTCTAAACTTGCCAGGATTTTCTATGGTGCAGTTGACGCCATCACTTTAAACCCTATGTAAACCCCATATAAACCCGTATAGAACCCCTATAAAACCGCTATAAAACCTCATACAACCCTTATTAAAACAAATGAAACCTATACCCTTTTGCACAGTATCCTCTAGTATGAAACCTTTGAAAGAGCCCCGAAGCCCTACTACTGGTTTACGGTTTAGGGTTTAGGGCTTGCTGCTGCTACTATCACTGCTAATACTCCACCGAGAATTATAATTACAGTTTTTATCATTACTCTTTCTTCTTACTGTTATTTATTGTTACTACAACAACAACAACAACTACTACTACTACTACTACTACTACTGCTACTGCTACTACTACTACAACTACAACTACTGCTCCTACTGTTACTACTACTACTACTACTACTACTACTACTACTTCTACTACT